TAGACCTAGCAAGGCAGTCCTCTGCTCCTTGCACCTACTTCCTCTTGCCTCCCTTTTCCAAGCTAATATATGGATGCCTGCTGGAGACTGCTCTGTCCCTTGTGACTTTGTACTGGACAGGAAGTTCAGAGAAGGTGAGCTGAGAGAGTTGGAGCCGTTCAGAGACATGACGACTAAGTGCTTGGGCAAAAATTTAAAGAAATATTAGCTGGTTAATGTATATTTGTTTGATCTGGATTCATTATTGAAAGAAAGAGCTTAATACTACTTTAATACGTAAACTTTGTTAAACAAATGGCTATTAATGTAGAAACATAAAAATCTACAAATTCCCTATTATGCCGTTCTCTTTCTTCATACATCTAATGTACTCCAGAGCAGTGTTTTTCAACCTTTTTTGTGCAAAGGCACACTTTTTTCATGAAAAAAATCACGAGGCACACCATTAGAAAATGTTAAAAAAAATTTACCTCTGTGCCTATATTGACTATATATAAAGTAATTCTCTTGAATAGGAATCAAATAAATAGGAATCACCTGCTCTAGAGACAAAGCAATAATTTTGCCACTTTATAGATCACTGGTTCGGCCTCATCTGGAGTATGCGGTCCAGTTTTGGTCACCAATCCACAGAAAAGAGGTCCTTGAGGTGGAGAGAGTCCAGAGAAGGGCAACTAAACTAATTGAGGGTCTGGAGGACCTAAGCTATGAGAACAGGCTACTAAATGATGGCAACATCAGCAATAAACTTTTTACAGTAAACTCCGTAACAAGGACTAGAGGCCACCACCTAAAACTGGTGGAGAAAAGATTTAAGCACAAGGGGCGTAGGGGCTTCTTTTCAGTCAGCGTGGTTAAGGTTTGGAACTCGCTGCCACAAGAATTGGTATCAGCTGAGAGTATTGAATCATTCAAAATGCATTTACATCCCTTCCTCAGAGACCGCAACATACAAACAGGGACTCGTGTACACACACACACAAACACTGGGAGCTCCGCTGGGGAAGTCCGAAAGGGAAATAGACTTGGGGGTCATTGTAGACCACAGGCTGAACAACAGCTTGCAGTGCCAGGCTGTGGTAAACAAAGCAAGTAGAGTCCTGTCCTGTATTAAGAGGGGAATGTTTTGCAGGGACAAGTCTATAATTGTACCACTTTATTGATCAATGGTTCGTCCTATCACTGGAGCCATTTTTTAAACTTTATTTTATTGTTTATCCGATTAATCGAACTTAATAATCAGCTAACTAATCGATTTTGAAAATAATCGTTAGCTGCAGCTCTAGTTCGGCCTCATCTGGAGTATGGGGTCCAGTTTTTGGCACCAGTGAACAGAAAGGATGTCCTTGAGCTGGAAAAAGTCCAGAGGAGGGCAACCAAACTCATTAGGGGTATGGAGGACAAGAGCTATGAGAACAGGCTACTAAATTTAAACATGTTCTCATTGGAAGTAAGGAGATTAAGGGGGGATATGATTTTCATGTATAAAATGTTTACCGGGGATAGCAACATTAGCAGCAAACTCTTTATAAATTAACTCCATGACAAGGACGAGAGGCCACCACCTAAAATTGGTGGAGAAAAAATTTCAGCACAAGGGGCGAAGGGGTTTCTTCTCAGTTAGATCAATCAGGGTCTGGAACTCGCTACCACATGCTGTGATTTCGGCCGATAGTGTGGAATCATTCAAGAGGCGAGTACTTTTAAGAATGGGAACACACAGGGACCTATACATACGCACACATCTGTAGGACCATACACACAACATAGGGATGTCCCGATGCCCCTTTTTCAGGCCCACGTACAAGTACTTCAGCGCTGGTCCGGTGGGAGGAGCTCCAGGTGGGGTCCTAATTTAGCTGGCCCAGAGGTGCCTGCCAGCTAAATTAGGACCCCACCTGGAACTCCTCCCGCCGGACCAGCGCTGACTCGCCGCTGCTCTCCGGCACTGAAGGACATCGTCGGCGAAGAGGAGCATGGCATCACTGCTGCTCCGGTGGGCGGAGCTCCAGGTGGAGTCCTCTGGGCAGTCGCCGGCCACCTACATTAGGACCCCACCTGGAGCTCCGCCCACAGCAGTGACGCAACGCTCCTCCGCTCAGCCTGCCCAGGGGACCCCACCACGGAAGGTGCCCCCACCACGGGGCAGTTTGACAAGTACTTGTCAAAATGCCCTGTATCGGGCCCGATTCCGATGCTAGCATCGGTATCGGGACATCCCTAACACAACAGGTTGGACTTGATGGACATATGTCTTTATTCAACCTCAAATACTATGTAACTATGTAACAAAGGTTGGACTTGATGGACCTGTGTCTTTATTCAACCTCAAATACTATGTAACTATGTAATAAAGGACCTGCATTTTACCAACAAACACATTTACAACAGGCTCAGTTCTACTGCACAGATGGAATTATGCCTAATTCTATCTATTTGACCATATGTTTATGATCCAAGTACTTTAGTTATCTGCAAAGTAATTACAAAGAAGAAAGCAGGCGGCCGTATGAATTGGTTATTTCAGCCACAGCCATCAATGCTGGTCACTAAAGTAAATAAGTCTTAGCGGGAAGCATGACGGCTGCTTTGCTTACCATCAGCAGATGTCACAGGAACAGAGAATTTCAATGAAATCCAGATGTGAAATACTTATTACATGGAACTGCCTTATTCTGGTTTTTTACAATCTGATTATTCAAGTGTGACAATCTTACTTAGAGTGAGGCTTCCTGCTGCACCTAAACAGGACTCAGAACTCTCATGCATTGCACACCTACTTCACTGCCTAAAGTGGCATAAGATGCATAGCAAATATACAATGAGTGGCCAGATTATTATGACCACCCCATCAGTACTTCGTTGGGCCACGAGATGACTTTGTTGGGCCGCCTCGTGACTCCACGAGATGTTGAAAGGTGATGCGAGGAATCTGACACTGCACTGTTGCCCTTCTGTTGTCTTGTACCAGTCTTGCCACTCTCCGTTCTGCCCTAACATTGGCTAGTAGCTCACAGCCACAATTCGCACGTTAAGACCCAGATTTTCGGCTGACAGTCCAGTCTTTAAACACTTTAACAACAGCTGCTCTTGAACATTTAACGAATTCTGCTGTTTTGCTGATACTCGCTAAATGGCTCCGAGCGCCAACAATCATCCCACGTTCAAAGGCTGTTAAATCGCGTTGTTTCCCCTTATCTGCAGAAAAAGATCACTTCTACTGTCGTGGTAAACAACCTGCTTCCCTATTTATAATGGTCTGGCCCTCTAGCAACTTCAGCGCCAAATTATAGCTAATTTGCCTACAAACGTCAGGTGGTCATAATAATCTGGCCACTCAGTGTATAGTGAAAGGGGGTAAAGGTCCACTTTAAGCGATATGAATATGTGTGATCTGGCTAATGGGTGAGGATCTCCACAGTATCCTTGGCTCGACAGTGAACACAGTAGATAATTGAAGCGCCACACCAATAAAAATAGACAGAATATAATATTATTCCATTGCGGTCAGGGGGGGGCATAAAAGTAGAGTAGCTGACGCATTTCAGGGGTTCCAAACACACCCCTTTCATCAGGGCATAATGAAAGAAATCATATCGGCCGTCACACCTCAGGCATTTAAAGCCTGTGGGCTGCTGTAAATGAAGATACAATCACAGCTCTCTGCACTGCCACTGATGACACATTCCGTGCTGGCCTCTGCCCCAGTTCTCATTTGGAATTAAGTTTTTAAACTGAATTCCGCCGATTACATGTTTTTCTTTCTGAACAAGGTTGTATATTTTGCGCTTGGGTTCCCATAAATAAATAAACAACATATTTTACAATTACTGTTTTCCACTTACTGGTCATCTTAGGCATTAGTCATGTAGCCCATGCCTGAGAGAAGCATCTTGGGAAGTTTACCTCAGCAGAGCATTGCTGGGAAACCTCATCTCAGGGAAAGGCTGTTTTTCCCCTGAGATGATGTGCATGGTCACATGTCCCAGTCACATGTGCCAGAGTTCTAGGAAGTAAAGGGAGATCTAGTAACCTGTCCTTAGTTAAAACAGTCACTGTGAGAAGAATTGAGGAAGAAAAGAAAAATAAGGTATGCAAAGAATAAAAAGCCGGATATTTTATATAAGCATCCGTTCGTAGATTGTCATTACTAAATATTTCTAAAAAGGTGTCTTTGTTGTCATTTAAAAGATAAAGTTCCTCTTTACTGTACTGCGTTTTCTGAGAGCCGTGTGCCTGGCACTGAGCCCCCAGATACCATAAACGTTTCGTCCTTTGTCCGGGCATACTGGTGCTATTCTTTCTGCCTGCCAGAGCTTTTATTGGATTGTATTTTAAATCGGAGGAATGCGAACAATCTGAGCACATTCAGACATAAAAGCAAAACTCTTCCAGGGGGAGCAAGAGGCAAAGGATAATGCTTCGTAGAGATGAAGAGAGACGGCGATCTGTCGAGGTCTACGGTGCAGCCACATGTGGGATTTTCTGTATAAAGCGTGTATTTTGGAACCAGCTTAAGGGTTATATATAATAAATATGGTTTTGATGATAAAAAAAAAAAAAAAGTTCCTCTTTACTGCTGAATGAGAAAACACCAAGAGAATAATCACACTTTATTTTCTACACTTCCAAATATCTATAACAGGGGGGAAAAAATCCATCAGTCTGGAAATCTTCAGCTGCCACTTGTTATCTCTGCACTTTACAGGCCATGTTAATGTCATAGGAACAAGCCCCTGTATGCCACCATTGGGGGTGATTATCTTTGCATGGGATCAACCAGCTCTCGTATATTTAGACTTCTATTTCCTTGGCATCAATAGAATTAGTTCAATATATACATTTTCTTTACTGTTCTGCAATATTACTTAATTCCTGGTGAAGAAATATGTGAACTAGAATGTATAATCACTGCAGTTGCACAAAAATTACCTTCTGCGTACCAGAGAGGAAACAACATTAAGTACAGCAATTATACCTGGTAAGTATAGTGAACTTACAGACATGCTGGCTGGAGACCCTGGAGTGACAGCATCAACTCTAGCGAAGGGGACAGGTAGCTCAAGGTTACGCTGTAGAGCTTCAGCCTGGGCCTCTACTTCATCGTTCAGTCTCTTTTCTTTGTCCCGTGCATGTAAGTTGTGCAAGGCCTCTTCAATCTCTTCCATGATGGCTTTATGATCATTTTGCAAACCTTGGTCCAAAAACAGAGCACACATGTTTTTGCCTCGTTTCCTAATTCAGGCAACATTTTATATTGCTACTTCATTAGGCACAGTCAGGGGGTTTTATCAAAACTGGCAAAGCAGACAAACAATCATCTTCTCTCTTTCATTTTAAAAACTTAACTGAAGAGAGATGCCGATGGGTTACCCTGGGCAACTGCTCCAGATTTTGATAACTTCCCCTCATAGAGCTTAGAAGGCCATTCAAGCAAAAATGTTATGTTTTTTCTTTCACTGTTGAATACACACATACAAGTTCAATCACCCACAAGAGATTCTGGCATCTCTGTTTGCCCCAGCATATTCAGCTTGGATTTATTCTGTAAAGTGGCATCTCCTAGGCCTGGGGTGTCAAACTCAATTTAATCTTGGGCCACATCAACATTATGGTTGCCCTCAAAAGGTATCTGTAAGACTATCTAAATATATCTAATCTTTATCATAATTGCCTCTGCATTCGATTATCACTGGTTTTAGTAATAACTTAATACCTAGATCTGAAAGTTGAAGTCTAGGAAATGGCCTGGTTGGCTGGATTGGGCCCCTGGGCCTTGAGTTTGACACATTTGTCCTAGGCTATGCCGACAGAGAATCCAGAAGTGACTATACACCACTCGGCAGAAAGCCAAACCAGATATGCAACAGCTATAGTAGGGGACTGATTTGGAAACTGTGGATACCACAGAGTTTTAAAAAGGAGTTCTACCAAACAAAATCATTGTCTAGTGTCTACAAAAATGTGAAAAACATTTTCTATAAGTAGGTTTGCATGATTCATACACATGTGGAAGAATAAAAATGGCCCATGTGTGGGACATGAAATCACCATCCTCTTCAATGAACCAATAAGAGCCAAGCCGGCCCTGGGCAAGCTAGGCAATGTTAAATGCGATTCCAAATCCTTTGTGTGAGGGAACAGGAAAGTTGTTCACAATGAATGACACCGCAGCGCACCAACACATTAAGCTATAATATATTTGCCAAGTATAAAGAACCTTAGGAATGACTGAGCCAACTAGCATTCCTTCAGACTTGACAAATTATTTTGGGTGGACTACAACATGTACTGTAGTTATCGGATATAATATGATAGAAGCTAGGGAGCAAGTACAAAGTAGATGATCGTATCCTGAGGGGGCAACAACACAACAGTCAAACATGGCCTCCTCCTGACATTTACATAAACAAGCACTAATTAATGCAAAGAGACTTCTAGCATAACAGAACAAGACCAATGATGTTGAAATAAAGTTATTAAAACACTTACAGATAATGTCATGCCGTACTGTCCGAATTTGGTAGAGGTCTACGTCTGCCCTTGGGAAACCCTCAATGTCCACGAGTGGTCCTTCCATTCCAACATTCTTTTGCTGTGAATGAAGCATTATGATATTACTCTAAGCCATTTCATACTCATTAGTATAATACTTATAAAGACAAAGTAAAGCATATTTTAAGCCATTATTGCAGATTTTAATCAAAGACACTTTGGATGTAATGTGCCTATTAACGCCCAATTAAACTTTTATTTTTAATAACGTCTCTTACTCCCGAGTGTAGGCTGCCTGGGCGTATTTTTACCTACAGCCCCAATCCAGTGATCTTATACCAAACATCGATCCTGCTGACTCCGCTTCATCCTTTGCTTGTGTGTAGTGGCTTGTTCATTCCTAAAGGGACAACAGTAGCTGAAGGCTGCCATTCTCAGCCATTGCATTTCCTGTAACCCACCACACACCCAAAAAGTTTTACTTTAAAACAGCAAAATAGTAAAATGTACAGCTGTTATACATATATGTGAACCATTCTATCTGCCAAAGGGTATGAAATCCTTATGTCACATGCTCCACCCCATGATTCTGCTATTTTATGTATTACTGGTATTTATATAGCGCTGACAATTTACGCAGCATTTTACATAGTTGCACATTCACATCACTTCCTGCCCTCAAGGAGCTTACGATCTAAGGTCCCTATCTCACATACACACACATACATACTAAGGTCGATTTAGGCAGGAGCCAGTAAACCTTCCAGCATGTCTTTTTGGAGTGTGGGAGGATGATGATGTTGATCATTGTCTAATAAGCAGGCTTAAAGTGGACCTTTACACTCAAAAAATCAAATTCTACCAATACATCCCTCTATGTATGAATAATAATAATAATAATAATAATAATAATAATAACATAGACATCTCAGGTGTCTATACTTACACTTGCAGAGCATTCAGTTCCTGCTATAAAAAGGGCAAAATGATTTCAGTTTGCCAAAGCAATGCACATTGGGATTGCCTTGTCATCAGCAGGGCATTGCTGGGAAATCTCATCTGTAATCTCAGGAGATCTCAGGGAAAGGCATTTTCCTCCTCTGAGATGATGTGCATGGTCACATGTCCTAGTCACATGTGCCAGAGTTTCCAGGAAGTAAAAGTAGATCTAGTCATTTGCCCTTAGTAAACATGGCCACTGCCGGAAGAGTGGGGAAGAAAAGAGAAATAAGGTATGCAAAGAATACAAAGCCGGCAATTATCTAGAAGTTTTTGTTTGTAGATTGTCACTACTAAACATTTCTCAAGGTGTGTTTGTTGTTAATTTAAAGATATGGGGAAAGGTCTGCTTTGAGATATAGTGGTTTCTAAATCATGTAAATTTAATAAGGAGTTGCGCTAATATTGCGCAACATAAAAATTTGCAACTACCACCATTTTATTCTATAGGGTCTTGGCATTCAGAAAATATATAATGTTGGGGGGTTTTAAGTAATTTTCAGGCCTAAAATGTGGAATAGAACATGGGTACAAAAAATGAAAAAAAGGCCTCAGTCATGAAGGGGTTAAAGGAGAACTATGAGGTGAGTGATTTCCACTCAACCTAATAGTTAGAGCCGACGTGTGACAATGAAACTGTCACACGTCGGCTCTATTGATCAGGAAGTGAGTGAACGCATACCGTCGCTCGCACACTTCCTGATCATCTCCCTGCAGAGAGCGGTGACTTTCCGCGCAGGGATTTCCCCCCTACCCGCTCCGATCCTCCAGCGCTGACAGGAGAAACGGACGGGGGAGGGGGCGGGCACAGCTGGTTGTGCCTCTAGATAGGCAGAGCCCACTCTCACTCACTCAGCTGGGTGGATCTCGACAGTATTGTTGGGTTCAGTCCCAGCTGTGGCGCTCTAAGTATATAGTGGGCAACAGCCTGCTATATACTGAACTTTGGGTCATGAGAGGATGATATTATATGTCCTCCCGTGACCCTTAAGAGAACTATGGGATAAAAAGTTTACCCCACAGTTCTCTTTAAGGCCGCATTCTCACCAGGTAGGGTGCGGATCAGCGCGGTTTACGCACGTTTTTAGAAAGGCGGTTTTGGGCATTTTGAATTACGTTTCAGAGTTCAAACGCAATTAAAAACTCCCAAAACCGTGCTAATCAGCGCGGTTCTATTGAAAGCAGTAGGGAACGCTAATCAGCGTGTAAAAAAAAAAAAAGCAACAGGGAGCAATTTGGGCGGGGGGCGGTTAGGATCGCGCAGACCCACGCGGTCACATGAACGGTCCCCATAGCAATGTATGGAACCGTTCATGTCACCAGATCCGCAAGGCCAAATCCACGCAGCCGAACGCGGCCTTAAGGACTCATTCACATGGGTGGGCACATGGCCATGCAGAGACCTGTTCCAAAGAGAGACAGGTGCTGCATGCAACCACCTGTACATCCCTATGGGAGGACACGGATGCACTTGGACATAGACAGTGTGTGTCCAAGTGAAGGCACCGTGCAGGTCTGGGTCGGCATGTAGTCATGTCCTCCCACAATGGCATGCAAAATGCTTACATTTTTAAGTGCTTTAAACTTGCTTAGAAATCCAACCTAAAATCCCCCCATGTAATCTTCAGGAGGGAAATGGGGAAGTTATGTTTACTCTAATGAACCCTGTTTGTACTGTGCTGGCAAATTTCATTATCAGTTCTAAATCGCAGCGCTGAATACTGAAAAATGGCCTGGATGGGAAGGGGGTTTAACACCGTGGATGTCAACTGGTTAAACACTGTCTGAGCCAACAAAGGGTTAAATCCTTTCAGGCATTCAAACTTGAAGAAGAAGCTCAGTCTGTCCCTGAGTTTGTCCCTCTACGTTCAAACTGCTCAGAGTAGCCTGGAATCTGCACAAAGGCCTTCACCAAAGAAACATCAAAAAAGGCAATAATATATTTTACATATGCTGTGTGAATGGGAACACATAACAAACATATAGAGGGTGTTTCTCAAATTTGACTGCAAAAGTGGAAATACACTTTAAGTTGCTCATACATGAATATATATTCCCATTGCGCCCACAGGCTGAACACAGGAAATCTATTGATTCCCACACTACAGTGCACGGAGGTGGAATCTGCACTGGCGGCTATTGTATTCAGCAACCACAGCCGGAAATCAGCCAAAATTCAAGCCGTCTATGACCAGCATTAGTGATTCACTTGATTTGGAACGAGCATGCAACCAGTGAATTCTGGAAAAGCCTAAACTTCCATCCTGCAAACTGGCCAGGATCAGGATGACAGTCCCTGAGCCTGATCCTTTCCATAATATACTGTGATAGAAGTGCCCATATGTTCTATCCTCACAGCATATTGCTGCTCAGCAGGGTGAATACTGTGCTCAAAACAGAACATTAATGGCGGACAATACAATAATAAAAACAAATGCCGAGTACATGATGTACATAAGGATGACACAAAATACTACATAGAGCCGAACTCACTTACATCCTCCAGGACATCATAATAAGCTTTTATCTGAGTTTCGATCTCGTCCTTCTTAATAATAAGCGTCTGCACATCGAGCATAGTAACAGCAGATGGACTCCCGGATTCCGACATCTCTCCCTGCAAGTCATGCACCAGGAACTACAACTACAGGAGCGCTGGACTACAAGTACGGGTGCCGCAGTAGGTCAAAAAACGGCTAGTCACACGGAGATCGCAGTGGAACGTTTATATTAAATCAGTGTAAGACAGTCTGTCAGTATCATCCTAAAGAATATCTGGTATTATTATGTGAAAATAAATGACTCTGTGCACCTAAACATTGTATAGAGGGAGAATGGGAGCTTATAATCAATACGGGGCCGGAGTGATTTCCTGACTGCACCGTGTATTCTACTCAGGGCTGCATATAAGGAGGTGGGTTAAAGACAATTCTATTTGTCACAAGGGGGGCCCTGAGTTCAGCATGGAAAGTTCCACACAATGTAGCATAGACACACCATACACAGAGCTCACTGGCCCCCCTCGCCTTTCTGTTGTTAGTCTGCGGAAGGATGGAGGGGAACTCTGATTGGTGGAGGGAGCTGTCTGTCATCGCTGACCTCACCTATATCCTCCCACCCTAAGTGAGTCCGGGGTTAGTAGAGCTGTGCTGCCTTTGCAAGGGAAGAGAGTGTGCGCAAGTAATAGTTGTGTGGCACTGGCATTATATATTCTCATGCAGCAAAGGAAATATGGTTTGCCTTGCTGTGCCTGTCCCACAACAGGAAAGGAGAGGAAATCCCTTCAAAGAGAGGGAAATCCATGGTAGTCAGCAGAACTACTATTGGAAGATTTCCCATATTTTTCTTTTCTGATAACAACCCAAAATGTGGGATTTTCTTTCACTAATAATGGTCACCAGCATTTCTGACAGAGATTCTAATCCCCTTCTATTATATCGAAAACTAAAAAAGAAAGTGTTGGCTTCAGTTGCACTTTAAGGTGCCCTAATCTTAAAGGCACCTTAAACATCCCATTCACTCAATACATTGGGAAATAGGTCTGCAAAAAGACCACAGATGTTAAACAAGATGCCCAGCCAGGCCATCCCAGCGTGCAAACAATCCATAGTCTGAGACTCGCCCAATCAGAATGGGGGCCTAACACAAGTGTTACTACAATGCAATAGTGTAAATCCAGACATTAACCCCTTCATAACAGGCTTTTTTTCAATTTTTTGCATCCATGTTATATTCCCCATTTTAGGCCTGAAAATTACTTAAAACCCCCAAACATTATATATTTTCTGAAAGCCAAGATCTTATAGAATAAAATGGTAGCAGTTGCAAATTTGTTGCATGATATTAGCGCAACTCCTTATCAAACCTCACAAATTAGTGAAAAATGGGCTTAAATGCCCCAAACACAGTTTTTAAAAAAATATAAAGGTTAGGTTACAACAAGTAAATAGATACCCAACATGTCCAGGTTAAAAATTGTGTGCGTTCGTGAAGCGGCAACAAAATTCAGTACCCCAAAAAGTCCATAGACGACGCTTTAAAAGCCCCTACATGTCAGCAGTTTAGAGATATCCAAAAATACTGGCCCGAGAATTATTGCTCTCACTCCAGCATGCGCAGCGATACCCAACATGTGTAGCGCGTTCGTCGTTTTCATACGTAGGCGCACCCGACGCGTGTTTACGCGAAGACGCACGTGCTCACGGGGGCGGGACTTTAAAAAAAATTATTATTTTTAGATTTATTTTATTTAATGTTAATTATAAAAACTGTTATTTTTTTTTAACTTTACATTAAGTGCTATCACATAGGGGGGCTTACAAACCCCCCATGTGATAGCAGATGGTGGTAACAGGTACTCTTTAAGGTGACACTGGGGTTCCAAAAAACCCCCAGTGTCACCTTTCCACTCCAAATAAGCTATTGAAGTGCAGATCGCAGGTTTCCGGAGCCCAGCACTGACAGCTATGTGACCGGAAGTGATGCAATCTGCATCGCTCCCGGTCCCATAGAATGGAGAGGGGATCGACGAATGGAGGTTCGTCCATCTGCTTCCCGCCGACACCAGAGAAGCCGGGCCCGTAGGAGGGGCAACGGAGCCCGGGAAACACGCCGGGGGGGGACCCCTTCACCGGGCCGTAGAAGCGATCTGGCGTCAGCTGAGTCGCCAGAATCGCTTTTATTGTAAAGCCGACAGTCGGCTTTTGCCTCTGGGAGTCTGTTTAAACAGCACCGATGTCCGCAATGTACATTGTAGGTCGTGAAGGGGTTAAATAAAAAATGGCAATGACCAGTTTGGGGTTTTGTTTGAATGATTTGTAAATATGGCCAAGGCTTAAAGTGATATTAAAGCCTCCTTTTTTTTTAACAAAAATGCATCCTACAAGGAGACCCACCTTTGCTGGAGGCTGTTGCTGTTTTTCTTTAAAAGTTGTTAATTCCTCGTTTTCTAGTTTTTTTTTAAAAAAAGGGGCAGGGCCATGTTTACCCTAATGCAGAGAATGCATTAAGGTAAAAAAACACCCACACCTTAATACTACTTTAATGAATGAAATAGTGCTGTGAGCACCAGGCATAGGTGTCACTCATCATACTGCTATTACTTTGTTACGGATGACAGAAAATTATCATCAGGTAATATGCACATATCTATATATTGTAAAGAGAGAGAGAAAATATTTTTTTAAATTCACATCTGGCCACATTTGCCTGCTTAGATATGTGAATGCTGCTTGGAGATTTTAATGCTGGTAAACAGCTGGCATGTACAGGCCGTATTCACCCTGTGGCAAACCATCAGCACACCAGCTGTTGTGGAACTACAAGTCCCACGAGGCATTGCAACACTCCGACAGACACAGACATGACTCCCAGAGGCTAAGGCATGCTGGGATTTGTAGTTTCACGAAGCTGGATGTCAAGGTTGTCTACCCCTGCACTAGATATTTACTTATTTATAACATGATTGTGTGGAGGATGGAGAGGGCTAACATCCTCTTTTACAGGATCTTGATTATGTACTGTAGGCCCTCAAAAGGGATCAATGGTGAGGTTTTGGTGAAATAATGAATTCCCTGTCTGCAAATAACAAATGTAAAACATCAGGTTAGGGTTGTAATGTTTTCATTTTTATAAATATGACATATGTTACAGAGACCTACATTTCATGCATGGGAAATCATTGAATACTGAAGTGTCTCAAACTGATGCCATAGACACAAGCCCGAAGCCTGATGACACAGGCCCTAAAATATTTAAAGGGACACTAACTTTAGAAGTTCAATCTTAAAAATGCATTCAAGTACCTTACTATTAATACAAATGTATCTTATTTGTGTATCACTGTAGATCCTTAAATCATCTCTGAACTCATGCTGACCGTGTACAAATAAGATACATGTTTGTTAATAGTGAAGGGACTTGAATGCATTTTTAAGATTTAAAGGAGAACTATGGGGTTAAGTCTTTTCCCCATAGTTCTCCTTAGGGTAACGGGAGGACACAAACTAGCGTCCTCCCGTCACCCTAGGCTCAGTATACCGCGAGCTGTAACTCGCGGTATACTGAGACGCCGCAGCTGAAGCGGATCCCGACAATTGTGCCGGGATCCGCCCAGCTGCGTGACTGACAGCTGGCTCAGCCTATCTAGATGCAGAGCCAGCTGTACCCGCCCCTTCCCCCGTCCGATCCACCAGTCAGTGGTATTGTCCGCAGTGAGTATATCTGTTTATACAGGCCAGGCATAGAGGTCTCAGCAAGGGATATATCTCGCTATCACAACGATCGGAGTCAGAATAAAAAGCACTCGCCTCATAGTTCTCCTTTAACTCCTGAGTTTAGTGTCACTTTAAGTCTCCATTCAAACTTGTGCTTCTGCATTGCCTTGTGCTTTTTTGTGCATTTTTTTCATGCAATTTCATGTGTTATGTGTTTTTGTATTGGCCAATGAAGGTGAAATAAAATATAGGTTGCTAGGGGGTAGGGGCTTGTTACATGCATTTTCATGTGGTTTCCATACGCTCCCATTGAAGTCTATGTGACTAAAAATGTTGCATTCTCCAAGTCGCACAGAAGCGCGTTGCATAGGTGTGAACAGGTGCTACAGTGCTAAAATAATGGAATTCCTTTTATACAGTCAAAGCACTTCAATTTGTGAACAGGGACTTATGCTCGCCCTCCACTGACCTGTTACTGAGGACTAGTATGTGTAACACTGGTATCTGGTTAATGTTAGTGTGGACCCTAGCTCACCATTAGAGATGAGGCTGGATTTGGTGTGAACCCAGTTCCCCCAAGCCCGCTCAAAACCGCCCCCCCCCCCCCCAACCAACGCCATATAGCCACCCTCCGATTCCTGGCAACTGGTCGCAGCTTAGAAGACTTGAAGTTTTCCA